AAAAAAAAAAAAAGAAAATAAACATTAAAAAAATTAAAAAAACAAACAAAAAGCCCAAACTTCCATTGGCTACAAATTACGTGAAAAATGTCGATTATAAAAACATAGTGAATTTCCACAACAAATTCCAATAATTTGTGGAAACAAAAGCAAGAAAGTTACATTATATGGCATAAATATATGATAAGTTATGAATTATATTCATTATCTATCTACTTTTTCTTTTTTTAATGCTTATTTATTTTTTGAGTATGTTTATTTCTTTTTGAGCGCATATTTTTTCTTATCCATGTGTCACCAGTGCATGAACTAAACAACCAGACATGCTCAATGATTGTTAAATTCCGTTGCTTCGGTATCTTGCCAACTTTTAGTCCTGTGGAAGCCACAGCTTGACAATATTTGCGATTTTGCCATTATGAAAAATTTTTTTAATGTTTATTTATTTTTGAGAGAGAGAGTGAGACAGAGCATGAGCAGGGGAGGGGCAGAGAGAGAGGGAGACACAGAATCGGAGGCAGGCTCCAGGCTCCGAGCTGTCAGCACAGAGCCCGACGTGGGGCTCGAGCCATGAACCGTGAGGACGCGATCTGAGCCGGAGTCAGACGCTTAACCGACTGAGCCACCCAGGTGCCCCGTGATTTTGCCATTATAAAGATAGATTTGTCAAGGTTAAGAGGCTAGAACATGTATCTTAACAGTTTGCTAGTTTCAGTGATTATTAGCTTTTAAACATTGAAATACTTTTGAATAGTTAAGATATAAATAAAAGATTTAAATATATTTTTTAAATGTTCATTTATTGTGAGAGAGCGAGAGGGAGAACGGACATGCGCGTGAGCGGGGGGATGGGCAAAGAGAGGGAGAGAGAGAACCCCAAGCGGGCTCCAGGCTGTCAGCTCAGAGTCCGACGTGGGGCTCAGCCCCACCAACCGTGAGCGCATGACCTGAGCCGAAACTAAGGGTCGGATGCTTAACCGCCTGAGCCACCCGGGTGCCCCTACAATATTTTTTTTTTTAATTTTTTTTTCAACGTTTTTTATTTATTTTTGGGACAGAGAGAGACAGAGCATGAACGGGGGAGGGGCAGAGAGAGAGGGAGACACAGAATCGGAAACCGGCTCCGAGCCATCAGCCCAGAGCCTGACGCGGGGCTCGAACTCACGGACCGCGAGATCGTGACCTGGCTGAAGTTGGACGCTTAACCGACTGCGCCACCCAGGCGCCCCTACAA